TAAATGAAACTATGCACTAGCAAATCCGCAATATTTGCTTGTATGCTAGAAGAGGAATTAACCTCCACTCCCAGATTTACTTAATCGAAATACTCGCTGACTAAATGACGCAACCAATACTCTCTTTTTTTCCGTTCAGCTGTTGAAGTTTGTTATATTACCGAGGACAGGTGAGAGTCAAATTTTACTTTTATCATTGGAATTTATTACTTAATTAATATTATCTTCCTACACTAGAGGAGAAATGTTTGCCTCTCTCATCAAACAGCAAATTCATGTCTTTTACAGAGTAGGTGATTTTTTATACCAGGCATGTACTTGCGTCTGTAAAGAAAATAAAATCAGAAATTCGTATTCAATTGCTGAAAGTAACATCAAAACTTGCTGGTACTTTCATACATGGAATTAAATTAATCTTTCACTTGCCAGTAGGTTAACATCGCCCGAAGAGACACATTTGTAATGTTGAAACATAATTGCTACTATGTAGCGATTTTTAACATGTTTTAATATCGTAAAAGAAATAAAAATTATATATATATATATATATATATATATATATATATATATATATATATGAATGTGTGTGTGTGCGTGGGATTATATAACATGTATATCTCCTTCAAGCGTGAAACAGCCAGTCACCATGCAGTGCTGCTTACTATATCCACACTGCGTATATCTACAAACGCTTCCAATTTTTAAAATATATTTTAAAAACAATATATATATATATATATATATATATATATATATATGTGTGTGTGTGTGTGTAACACATTTCATTTAATACGACAGAGAAGGTTATTTGACTTATATTTTTATACAAATTCTCACGCGATATATTATTTTTTTTCTTTTCAGATGATAAATTATATAAAAACCGTCCAAATGTTCTTTTTATCCGAGCGCTTTCGGCTATACATTTAGCTATTTTCAAGGATGAAATATTCTAACTGTTAAATAAGAAATAGTTTGTTCCATGTATGTATAAATATATATTTCCATTCTTGAAAATGGCTAAATCTATAGCCGAAAGCGCTCAGAATAAGTTTTTATATAATTTATCATCTGAAAAGATAAAAAAAAAATATTATATATCGCGTGAGAAATTGTATAAAAAAATAAATCAAACCATCTTGCCTGTCGTAGTCAATGAAATGTGCATTAAAGAAGGATTGCAGCCTAAATACGCAAGCATATATATATAAGTTTGGAGGCGGTTTCCTCACACAAAAAAGAGCAAATGTCCATATATATATGTCCGCAAATACTTCGTTTTTGAATTATAAAGTTTAAAGTTTACGGTAGACACTGTTAATGTACAATTTAAGAAACAATCTAAAAATACTCAATGCCATATTTTGTGATGACATGGATCCTGTCTCAGCATCGAAACGATAAACACTAGCAAATGTTGGATGGACTCGGCTGCCTTCAATCTGGAAACGCGATCTTATACAGCCGGAAGTCTCGCGCCCATTACCATTCGTGCGGCCGTATGTAAAATCATATTTGCTTGCTCACGATATGAAGATCCTACCATTGTTAAACGGTACACATCTCAGTTAACTCACCACTACACACGTTAAACGTTGAAGACAGACTAGCCACAGATGTACACAAATGGCAAATGTAACTTAGTCTAACTTAATTTTTGGCCTTTCAGTAAAAGCAAAATTAATAACAAAACATATGTATCTTTTCCTCAGTTTCGTCTTTAAATAATTTTATAATTTTTTCAACTTAATACAGATTAAATTTAAAATTGGTAATTTTTAATTTTTAATTTTATAGTAAAATTTAATATTAATTAGAATGAATTCTATTTTAGTCTAACCCTAACATTAAAACATTAATTATTATAATCAAAGTTTTTTTAATTCTTATATACTTGTATTTTGATTGGTCATTCCAGCTTATTTAACTGCGTTTTCACTTAGCGAGGGGTGTTTGATTGAATTGAACCTTTTAAAACCCTTTATTCTATATTCAACACCATCACTTGGTAAGAAAACAGAAGTGTTGAAACAAAATGGCTATTTTTGTAGTGATTTTATAACATATTTATGTTATAATTTTCGAATAATTAATTATATTTGCTCTACTCTGTATTGAGCACTTTTAAGAATAGTATTTTTTGTTTATTGAATTTATTCCGTATACACCAATCCTATACTTTTGATATATATATATATATATATATATATATATATATATATATATATATATATATATATATATATATATATATCATGGAGCATATTCGTTTCGACTATCAACTCAATATACGCAACACGTCGATATTGAAATTAAACACATATAACTAAAAGAGTCAACGATGTATATCTTGAATACGATTATTATCATTGAGAAGTTCGATTATTCTTGATTGATTGATTAGTTATCTGTGGGTTATCAACTCTTTGCAGGTTATTCAAAACCAGAAAATATATTTAGATTGTAAGAATACTTTTTTGTCGTAATAATGATTTAGTGATAAAAATCTAAGTAATTAACCCCTAGAATGAAGGGCAAATGTTAGATTCATACCTTTCACAAAAGTATTTGCGCATAGAAATGAATATAAGGGATCCAACTGGAATTGGAATTTGGCTCACCAATTAATAATTCCGATCCATTATCCAGTACTTCAACCGCACATACAAGCTTACAGCTCTTGGTATCCCCAAGCAGTCATCCATCTCGGTACTTACCAGGCGCGACATCGTTTAACTTCTGTAGTTGGTATTTCGAGGTGATATGGCTGTAAACCTCTCTTCCTTGTAGATTTTTAACAGTATGTTTCTTAGCACATTATTCAGTCAGTTATATTTCATGCGAGATACAATAATATATCTTTCGATACATGACTGACAGGCAGATTTTTCCCCAGTTGGGTGGTATTTCTTCCTTCAGTAGACCAGTTACCATCCAAGTCTATAGAACCCGGTCTGTCCTACTATTTATCCATAGTTCGGGGACAGAAGAAGTGGAATAGTACCTTTCCCAAGGACATTAGCACGTGAATGTAATGGATTCGACTGGAATTCGAACTCGGCTCTCCGATTGCTCAATCCGAGCCACTATTCATTACACCACAAGCCATCTTAATTTACTTTCTATTCCATACAATCCTTTACCCGGTTATTATTCGAGATCTGGAGTATGGTGAGGCAGTAATTATATGCATTCTTTTAGTACAAATTCTGTTGTCACATGATACTATCTTTATATATTTTCTATACATTAAAATAATCTCCACGGTGGTTTCGTAGTTCACCCTGGGGCAATCATTTTCATTTTTCCACACAGCATCCGATCTATGCACACACCGCTTTTCTGCTCTCTACATAACATCCAGTATACAAAATAATATTAAGCTATACGAAAGAGCTGGTTCTCTGCCCATTACACAGTCTGCATTTGGCTTCTCATACCTGTTTGTAATATGAGCATGCCTGTATTGCACCAGAGTGACTTAGATGTGATTGTACTATTTAATGTGTTCACAAGTGCACATAACCATCCACACATAATTTAACTAAGTCTGAAAAAAAAATAAAAAACAACTAAAAAACAATCGTGTAATACCTTTCTCACAATTTAGTCTAACACACTCCCTAACCTGGGCTGAGCAATGAAATCATAAATTTTAATGTAAGAAAAGAAAAGAAAAAGATTTTAAACCCTAAATTATCAGATAAGCTTAAGATTTATTGAGAATTTCAGAAATTATGTGGTAATGGATAGAATTATTTTTAAAAGTTTTGTTTTTTTTAAATTTTGTAGAAATACTTTTAGGTTTCTCATAGAATTATATATGCGCTCATGAAAACGTACATACGCACATCTTGAATGAAATTCATATGTTCATCTTTGTCAGGAGCGCTAATTTCACTTTTTATCTGGCACCCCCCGCCTGGGTAACAGGAAAAGAGTATAAACTGAAATGTTCGGTACATTAAAATCATTTTCATGACTCCTCCAGTATTTCAACTGAATATATTTTCTAATAAATTTAAGATTTTAAATCGAGAAACTATTTAGATACAAAAGTTGATCATCTTGCTGTCAGCCGATCATGTGGTACTGAACTAGTACTACTACTACTACTACTACTAATAATAATAATAATAATGGTTCCAATCATGACATAAGGTAGAATATTTAAAATCAATCAAGAATAACGCGAAAGATACACGCAAATCAAAATCGTAAAATTGACGATGAAAGAAAAGTGAAGATATTAAAATAAGGAAAAACAACATCAAAATTATGGTCATGATGGAGGAGACGTATGAAATGAAATGAAGAAGGAAAAGCGAAAAGATGCAGAAAAGGAATAAAGAATAGAATTATATTTGAAAGAAATATGATTTTGTTTGCTGATTATACTTATCACAACACCAAATCGATGAAACTTAACGCGAGAAATTTCGCGAGATTTCTCACGAGAAATGAGTTTCTTTTCTTTTTTTGCAAAATTATGGCTTCAAAGATAGAGATCAGAATATGATTTTCCATTTAATTTTACTTTATATAATAGCAAGTCAAAGTTTGATGTGTAATTTCTCAAAGAATTCTAGATTTGATAATTGATAATAATTAAATTTTGGATGTCGAAGCAAAGCTCGATGCTTTGAAATTGTATACAATTTCTAAGCCCAAAAGTTTCGTTCATTTATCAGAAAACGAAAGTTCGTCATAAATCTAAATTACAATAAAGCCTGGGCCACAAAGAGGACAGATAAAATAGCAAGAAAAGAATTAAAAAGAAGACGATATAGATAGAAAGAGACAACGAAAGAGATGAAAAGGAACATGGAGAGAATTTCTAAAATACAAAGTAAAAAAGGCAAACAAATGAAAATCAAACATACGAAAGACAAATATTTCGATATGGTAATATATATTAGGGCTTTCAGAGGTTAATTATGCATTTCAACACAATAAATTAGGAGTCAACCAACTAGGCCAGAACAAGGTTGTTTATGGATATATCACGCTGGAACACCGGTTACCGTACGATCACCGAAGGTAAGCAACGTCGAGTCTGGTCAGTACAAAGATAGGTGATTGCTTAAGAATACCAGGTGCTGTAAGCGTAGATGAGCAGGGGGTGTAATGGATAATGGCTCGGAATCGGAAATCAGAGAGCTGAGTTGGGATCGTTAAGTTCACTTACGCGCAAATACCGTTAGAAATGGTACGAATCCATCTTTTCTCCTCCAGCTATGGGTTAATTAGTAAAACTAAATTATTTTTATTTTCAAAAAAATTTTACACTCTAAAAATATTTTTTGGCTTTAAATAAACTGCAAAGGGTTGATAAGCCGTAGAAAACGAATCAATCTGAGTCAAGGTGAAATTGTAGGAAAGTGTGTCAATAAATAACTTATCATCTCTTCAATCCGACATTCTGTCGTTTGCTTAATTTAATCACGTAAAATAAATGTAGTGGATGCATTGGCTTCTAGCCGAGGTTTGTCAGGAGTTTCGGGTCTTTCAACATCATACCCTCTCTCCACGGTGACCGAGCCGATACTGATCGGGTATCGACTTGTATACCATCCGTAAACTACAATTTTCTCTCTTTTCCCCAATCATATACTGCGAATCCTCTTGGCATTTTATAATACAATCACGGATAACTGCCGGTTCACCAACAACCTACGCTCTTCCATAAAAAAAAAGAAGCAAACATAGTAACGGTTTCAATCTGGTAAGGAACATGGCGACACGCTCGGCATGAAGTGGTAAGTAACGACTTGATTCCCTCATTGAGATACATACATGCACACACCATGTTAATCAGCCAAACGACCCCCCGTGTCAACTGAGCATGCACACACACACACACACACACACACACACACACACATATATATATATATATATATATATATATATATAAAGGAAGAGCAGTAAGATATATAATCCGATATTCTTATTGATATTCTTATTTTTTACAAAATAGTGCTCAATGTAAATTTACAGAGCATCAATATTATAAATTAACTGATTTAAAATATGTTTTGTTTCTCTACACAGTAATAACCATGTCTCAAAAATGGAAGCTAAAAACTTTAAATTTAATTTTTTAATTAAATTAAAAACATTAGTTCCATTTCATCCTCAAGCGAATTTTGGAGTAACTTATTTTTTAAAATTACTGAGTTTTACCTACTAGGGAAATTCATAATTTACGGTTACCAAGGATACAGTCCAATCATCCAGACAAGAAGTAGTAGCGTGTTCATTTTTATTAATTTTTGTTGTATCAGTTATTTGTTTCGTTCGAAAAAGGGGTTAAGTTTAGGTGGGGATGTATTTTTCAACGAGTTCTGACATCTGTTAAATTCATGTCGTCTGGGTTTTTTTTTTTTAAATTTTATGGTTAACGGCAAAAATCCTTACGGTATTTTTTCTATTTGAATATTTAAAGATTTTTTGGGGAATGTTTAGGTTAGAATACGTTTTATTTAACTACTATTTTAAAATATTTTTCCTTTTAATTTTTAATAGACTATATTTCTTTTTAAAACAAGTAAATGTAATAGAATTACTTTCAGTATATAATATTGTTTTTCTATATCAAGTATAAGTATGTATATTACCAGGTCACTTTTTTTTTAATTTTATTTTTGAAAATATTATTTAATGAAAATATTTTGACAATGACAGCAAAAATAGCTATTTCATTTCTCTGATTCAGTAAATTTTTTATTTTTTTTATTTTTATTTTTTATATTTTATATATAAACCTAATAATATATAGATTCTCATGTATGCACAAAGGACATGGGTCATTTGTTGGCTTACATATTAAAAAATCTATATAGGTCGCACAAGCCATGAATTCAAAAAGCGTTCAACCAACATCAAAGTTCCTTTAGGATAAATAAATATAGAAATCGAACATCTCCTCAAAGTACTTCTGGCATCTGAGAGAATACAATAAAACATCTACAGTAAAATGGAAGTCAATAAGAAAAGCTAGAATATGTAGGTCATTAAATGACCCATGTCCTTTGTGCATACATGAGAAACTATATATTACTAAGTTTGTAAAAATAAAAATTTACTGAATCAGAGAAATGGCCATTATTTTAGACTTTTGTTGACAGCACCTTTATCGGGTAAACAGTGCAATACGTCGAAAGTGTCCTGTTTTGGTAAACAAAAAAGGTGTTTTTGTCCAGTATAACATTGCAAAAGTACATTCCATAAAACAAACTTAAGAAAAAATAAGAAAGACAGAAAAGATGGAATGAATGGCTTTTCACGAAAAATGAAATAAAATGTGGAAAGAAAAGAAAAATGCTTTTTAAAGAAGAAAAATAGGGGTTAATCTAAGAAGAGAAAAATAATTCTGATGCAGAAAACACGCGAAAAAAAAATAAGACAGACAAAAGTAAACACAAAACGAACGAAAAATTGCTGATGCTAACCTCCAGGAAGCAACTCTTTGTTCTTTCTTGAACTCATGTTCTTCACTGTCTTGAAGTGCAGTGTTTATTGCGATTTTTCAAGCGTAGCTTACATGTGGTACAAGACCGAAAGTATGGGGCACCCAGTCAGGATCAATCTCACTACTCAGTCGTAATTGTTTGCTAACCATTACACCACCTCGAGGTGCCTATAATGATTTTCCAAGCATAGCTTAGATGTAGCACAAAGCTGAAAGTATGGGACACCCAATGATGATTGAACTCACTACTCAGTCGTAATTGTTCATAATTGTAATTGTGTTCGTAATTGTAATTGTTCTTGCTAACCATTACACAGACTCGAGGTGCACAAGTGCAGCGTTTATATCGAATCAATTGATTGGTGTTCTGCTAAAAAAGTTTATACACAGTTTCGTGCTAGACAATACTTCTCGTCAGAATATATCTTGTACATATAAAAATATTCCATTCATTCGTGTATTGAATATAACCGCAATATATGCTCTGCTGTTCCTATTGTTCCAAAACTCTTAACAAAAATCAAAGAATTATCTTTAAAGGTAAGCGATTCAAAACTGGCATCTCGACATCTGTCATATCTCACCAAATTGAATTCGAACATGGCTCTACGAATTCCACTTCCGAGCCATTATCCACTGCACCTCCCACAAATCTGAGCTTATAGCACCTGGTATTCTCAAGCGGTCACCATCTAGGTACTGACCAGGCTCGATATTGCTTAACTTCTGTGATTGTACGGGAACCGATATTTCAACGTGATATGTCTACAAAAAAGCTTGGTTCTGGCTTGTTTGGTTAACTCATAAGTCATTGTGTTGAAATACATAATTAATTTCTGAAAACCCTAATACATATTACCACATGGAAATATTTGTCTTTCCTATGTTTGTTTTTCATTTGTATGTTAAAAATTTTCTCCTCCTTCCTTTTCATCTCTTTCGTTGTCTCTTTCTATCTATATAGTCTTCTTTTTTTAATTCTTTTCTTGTTATTTTATCTCTATCATGATTTAATAGTTGCTTTTCTCACACTTCTCACCTGTTGAACTCCCTTCAGATTTCTTGTTTCCCTGATACCTATAATCTTCAAAAGTTTAAATAGAGCACCAATCGCCCTCTTTTGTTTTCCTGATATCTGTTCTTTTATTCTCTTTTCTTTTCAATAAGCTTTCTTATTCTTTGCCACAGCACTTGCATTCTGTTGCCGTTATCACCTTCCTTGCGGTGGAAAGAATAAAAAAAGAACATTGTAGACGTTTTAAAAAGAGTAAAAAGAGAAAGATTCAGGGAGAAAGATAAAAAAAGATTAGTACAAAGGCGAAAAGATGTACAGAAACTCTTTCTGAGATATGTAGAAAGAAAAAGGGAGAAAGAGAGAGAATGAAAGAAAGTAATCAAAGCAAAAACACAGCCATGGCTACAATTAGAGAAATCATATAATAGAGAAGATGAAAAAAATAATTTAAAAAATTCCTAAAAATATGATTTCTTCACACATGATCAAAACGCGACATCCTTCTCCACTCATCAAAGGATTTCCTTCCTTGTTTTTTTCTTTCAATCATTTTTTTCTCCTGTGGGTCCAGTTATCGCCTAATTCACTCATCTGCTTAAATCTGATCGGTGGTCATTGCAAGCATTTTCGCGCTGCCAGACATCCTGCAATCACCCCGAGAGGCAAAGGCTAAAATGACCCCCAAGAGTCAACGGGTGTAAATGATAATTTGATATCGCACAGATTAGTGATAAAGCGTTCACCCCTGGATCATTAATGCGCGATGCCTCAGTGCCATTTTTCTGTAATGGCAGACAAATGTCTGGCATTTCGAATTCCATCGGTAATCACTAGTTCCGTCTTCAAAAACATGGGACCTATCGATGCGCAAAACTAATTGTTATTGGCTCCACTTACCGACGAGAAGGCTCAGTTTACAGAGGGGAAAAACTATTTCTTTACGCATATTTAAGATGAACAAAGACATTTTAAAATCGTGGGGGAAAATGATTAACATGATGGTTGTTGTAATGCATCAAGGTTTGGAGCCTGTGTTCGTTTTAGGCTAGTTCTTTTAGGATCGGACATTTTACTAAAATAAACATCTGCATGATTAGAATAAATAGTTATCATACTTGTTAATTGTTATATACTGTACATATGAACACTAATGGGCATGTCACAATCCTCATAAATACGTTGGACACTATTGTAAGTGAGGGCTTATATGCTGTCTAGATAGTCCACCGCTAGTATTGGGTTACTTACTTCATGCCGCTGGCGAGTATTTTAATTTGTTGATGTTATAAAGATTACCATTTCATTTCCAACCACCATTTTGGTTATTCCTCATTCAGTAACTTCTCTAGGTTATAAAAGAATAAAAGGAAAGAAAGTAAGAAAGCAAGAAAGTGTTATATACCGTATCTATGAACACTAATGGGTATGTCCCAATCCTCATAAATACGTTGAACACTATTGTAAGTAAAGGTTATGTTCTGACTAATAGTTCACCATTAGCAGTGGCTTAGCTACTTCACGCCACTGGCGAGTATTGTATTTTGTTGATCTTATAAAGATTAACATTTCATTTCCAACCTCCGTTTTGGTTATTCCTTATTCAGTAACCCTTTCTAGGTTACAACATATCTATCAGTATATTCATTAATCTCTCCTCCCACTCTCTATTCCTACACACACACACACACACACACATATATATATATATATAGGTAATAATCCGTCAGTAAGTCTTTTCCTTTTCTCTTAATATAAGGTATCTCTAATTATACTTTATTTTATTTTATTTTTTATTTTATTTTATTTTTGAGTTATCATTATAACTCTATAGTTATATTGTATTTAACTATGATATTTTCCTCTTTTCTTGGATTTTTTCCCCTTTTTTCATTTCTATTAAATACTAATTTTAAATAGATTTCCACGTTTTTTTCAAGGCATTTTAGTAGATATTTATATTTATATATATATGGTTTTGTGTGTATTGTGTTTGCTTCCTCTCTCCTAGGTATCCAGCGCATTTTTTCTTCACTTTTCTTCTCTTTCTCTCAAACCGATTTCTTTCTTCACTTTTGCTTTTCTCTCGAGCTGATTCTCCACCTTACTCACCCAACTCATCTCCTCTCTATTTCCCTCTCAATCGGATTAGCGAATTCTGATATTTTGAAATGCATGATTCTTGTTTCATTCCTTTATTTTGTTCTTATTCGATTTCAATCTATCTTCTATTTCCTACACGTGATTCTTATATTTTTCTTTTTATCTATCACTCTGCCTCAGTCTATTGATATCTTGTTATATACCGTACCTATGAACACTAATGGGTGTGTCCTAATCCCCATAAATACGTTGGACACTATTGTAAGTTGGGGTTATATTCTGTCTAAGTAGTTCACCATTAGCAGTGGTTTACCTACTTCACGTCGCTGGCGAGCATTGTATTTTGTTCATGTTATAAAGATTACCATTTCATTTCCAACCTCCGTTTTGGTTATTTCACATTCAGTAACCCTTCCTAGGTTACAACATTAGTGAAATAATTTCAGACATGAACAAAAAAGCTTTTATTCATAAACCTTTCTTGTATATCTATTTATATTTCTAAGATGGGGTATTGTAATTACTTACATTATTTACATTGTTCGGACTGTTTTCCTGAATGACACATGGCCCAGTGGATAAAAGCGTTGGTTAGATCCAGTGAATTGACCCAAAGAGTCGTAAGTTCAATTATTTGGCTACTGCATTGGTGAACAAAAACTTGGGAGGTTGAGTTGCAGGAGATAACTGAGACATTCGGAAGTGACATGGTACGAGGAACTGGGATAATCTTGGCCAGTGAATGAAATATAGGGCCCAGTTCAACATTCCAATCCCCTGAAGAAGCCCGGAGTGTACAGCGGCAAAAAACTTTAAAGATGAGGACAACGTTCCGAACAATGTAAATAATGTAAATAACCCTTCTTGTATTTATAAAATCCACAAAACCTTTAGCATTTCTTGGGCCAAAAAATCGCTTGTTCTGCATATTTTTATCTAACTTTTTAAAATTAAATTGTAATCGATACATGCCTAGAGAGTATCACAATATAGAGACATAATCAAAAAGATATGATATGAAAAGAAGAGAAGTAGGATGAAAGTAAATATTATGAAGACAAGGAGGATAGATAATAATATACCCTTGACTTGAAGAGGTCAAGATAGAAGTCTCCATTGAAGCAATCGCATGTGAGGTTGTTCTACAATGTTTGGCTTCGTGAGAAAGTAAGAAAAACTGTGATGAAGTATGAGGGTTGGAGTTCAAAATTTAGACATGAAAACAAAATATAAGTTAGGGAAACAGCCCTTGTTGAAAGTAAGTATCTAATCATGCCTCCGCCGCTTCTCTCACCACATGTAACATTGAGTCTATTCTTATTACGGGCGCACCAACATGTCAGACAGGAATAAGAAGGTTAAATAAAAGTCAACAGTTTTTCCCAGTAAATCAATAAATTTAGTGGCCTTTAACATCACAACATTATATGCGGATGCTAGAGAGTGCTTTCTGCGAAATCTACAGCAATTACTTGCACAGCTTTTATGTAGAGGAAGTAAAATAAGGAGATTTTTTATCTCCTTATTTTACTTCCTCTACATAAAAGCTGTGCAAGTAATTGCTGATTTTTAATCACATTGAATCAACATTGGGTGTGCGAGTACGTAAATTGTAGACGCGTATATATATATATATATATATATATTTATTTATCTACCTATTTTAGTCTCTTCAGATCTATCTATCTATCTCTCTCTCTCTCATATATATATATGTGTGTATTCCAGTCTTTTCATTTCCTTCTATCTCAAACTTTTCATATCTATCTATCTATCTATCTATCTATCTATCTATCTATCTATCTATCTATCTTAGTCTTTTCATTTCTTTCTATCTCAATCTTTTCATATCTATCTATCTATCTATCTATCTATCTATCTATCTATCTTAGTCTTTTCATTTCTTTCTATCTCAATCTTTTCATATCTATCTATCTATCTATCTATCTATCTATCTTAGTCTTTTCATTTCTTTCTATCTCAGTCTTTTCATATCTATCTATCTATCTATCTATCTATCTATCTATCTATCTATCTATCTATCTATCTATCTCAGTCCCTTCACATCTATCTTTACTCTCTCTCTATCTATGGAATTGATTTATTAGCGAAGATTTTATTTTAAAATCTCACTAAAAACTCTATTTTATCAATACTGAATATTTATTTACATTACCGGATTTCGTATTCTAGAGAAATTAAAGAAAATGTGTATTCCGGCTGGATTCACACCTTCGTCCACCTTTGGAGAAGGAACCACCTTTTGATTCGGCGTGAGTTTAACGCTTGGCTACGAAGAGCGCCACAATAAATCGAGCAGGATTTTTTCTATTCTGCCCTTAAAGCACACTGGCTAATTCAGGTTTCCCGAAACACATATTTGCTCAGTTTCTATCCGAAACGCAAAGAAAACAATTTTAAAGAATTAATGTCTTTTTTATTATAAATATTTTTATTACTCAATAGTTATTTTAGTGGATAACATTATTTGAGTAAACGCTCTGTTTATTTTTACACAGTATTTATTTCGTATACTGACATGCATATTCGAGAAATCTTAATAATCAGATCCATTAATTGTTTAGAAATGAACTATGTTTACCCCCCCCCCCACCATATATATTTTATAAAATATATATATATATATAT